ACTAGTAATGAGCACGACTATTCGATAGCGCCAAAGCACCGTACTGCCCATCCCGCTCTTCCGGTGCCTCCTCCCCGACAACCCTCCCCCTCACTCAACCCATTCATCACACTCAAAATGCCTCTCACTGGCCGAGCTCATCTCCAACAGGTCGAAGGGAGATTGATTTGTTTGTGTACAGAGGCAAAGGCAGCGAGAAGGAGCAAACAAAAAGGGAAAAGACAGCAGACGAACACTGATACAGAGGTGTGTTTTTGTGTCTGTATGTGTGTGTGCCAAAGACTCCAGTCATTCAGATACACAGCGTGTGTGTGTGTGTGTGTGTGTGTGTGTGTGTGTGTGTGTGTGTGTGTGTGTGTGATCGACTCCATCTCACAGATGATGTTTTCACTCCACTCTAGTGTTCACTCACCTGTCTCAGCCGGTGCTGTCTGCCTTTCATATCCAGCATATTTAATCTCCTCTGCACAATGTGACCAGTACAGCAGCATCTGCTTTGTCTCTCAAGGACATTTTTTTTTTTTTTAATCTCGACCCTTAAATAGACTCAGTTTTGACAGATAACCACATTGGATTCGATTTTGTCCTTGTGGGCAGTTTATTATGGAAGATACGGTTGAGTTATGGGTAGATCATAGCGCTGAGGGTGTCAATAGTCACATTTCTACATCAATAGAGATACTGTCTGCTTGAAGTAATGATAGTTCAAATGCCCGTCCAGGTAATCAGAATGTTGTAATCATCTTTGTATCGCTTCTCTCTGAGGGGTGTAGGAATGTAAATGAACAACAACTGCTGTGTTATGATCTATCACGCCTTCGTATTGTGGGCTGAGGAGTTCTTGACATGTGAGGAGGAAGCCTTTCAGTGCATTTTTAGTGTAGATAATTTTCCATTGAGGTTGCTTTGCTTTGTAATGGTTTGATTTCACGCCTGAAAGCTGTCCAGACAGTTCACTCTCTCTCCCCTCTGTGCCTTGTAAAATGTCAAGGTCCAATTATATTGTCTTTTTTCATTTGGGGGTTTTTTGAATTTACTCGCCCCAGGGCCCGTGTCACCGCCAGAGAGGCCCCGGCTCCTGCTGTAAACAGCCAGGTTTAAACACTCCACTCATGCTGACACGGTTCAGTGGTTGTGGCGAGCCCTAATCGACGGGCAATTCAGGAGCGCTTTTAAAGGACCCTCGCGGCTTCCTCCAGGGACAGACGGATATATCGGTTTGCCAATATTGGCTCGTTATAATACATTGATAAGATAATGTCATCTAAGTCGATTTAAGGTACGGTTTCGTAAGCAATTTATTTTTAACATTATCTAATTATATTCAATCACTTTGTAATTTTTGCACAAAATACTGATCACTCAAAACTTCCACCACTCCAAAAGTGTCAATACTGACCTAGACTCACAAGTCTCACGCTCTATAGAGACTGAAGACAGTGTCCCTGGTTTAAAAGAAGCCTGCATAGCAGAACCAATTCAAAGTCTTCAGAGCGGCACTTCATCTTGGGTTTATGCAGAAGTTGTGTGCTTGTAGCAGATACACATGCACAGAACTGTTGTTGCTGCAGGACAGGTACAGGGCGTAGGTTTGCTCTCTCTGGCGTTTTAGCAACAACTTGGCATTCTTAAATCAGACCATGTGGTAGACGGGGTTCGACGATTGTCCCGTAGTGCGAGACTAATACCGATCCTTGAAATCCCACGCCATAAATCTTTCCATACCTTCATGAATCTGTTTCAACTTTTCTTACAAGTGACAGCATTTCCCCTTTGCTCTAGTCCCATTCCCATTACATAAATGGTGCAGTGCAAGGAGTAGTGCGTTCCTGAAGGGGAAAGCAAAGGGCATGATTGGTCAAGAGTCTGTCATCACTCTTTCATCACTCGGCTCTCAGACCATGTGGGCCTCACTGAATATCCCCCCTAAAGGAATAAAAAAAATCCTTCTTTTTTTTTTTTTTTTGTTTTAAATCATCGGTGCTGAATGCTGTCTCTGCTGACACTGATGGGCTTTGAACCCTGCAGGGAGTGGCTAACCTGCCACTGATGAATGAGGCGTACATGGTTGCCAGTTCAGAGGTTGGGAAATGTATTCAACTCTTGCAACACCCACCCCCCGGCTCCCCGGGCGCTTGTCATTGACCTCTGGTCAAATGCAGAGGTCAAATTTCGTGTATGTGTATATGACAATAAAAAAGGGTTTCTATTTCTAATGCATGTGTGTGTCTAATGTCCTGTTTGTGCATGTGTGTGCATTTTGGGCCTGTGTGTAATGTGTAAAAATAGTTCTTTCTTTCTTTCTTTCTTGCTTGTTGAGGCAGTTTATATCAACTTTACTCGTTCCTTTTCCCCAGAGAACTCTGTTGGTGTCTCATGGATTCAGGCTCCTTTCCATGACTGCAGTCAGCATGGTGCATCTTAAAGGTTCCCTACAGAGGTTTTGATCAGTTGTACGAATTTTTCTCTTTGTTTTGTTCTTTCTTGTGCACACACTCAGAACTGCAGAACTGCATGCAGGTGAGGCAATTCACAGTCCTGCCGATGGTTAATACTACTCCACTGACTGAAACCCTGCTGAAGTCCTGTTGCTGTAGCTCTCCCTACAAGATTTAAGAGGCATCACCGTTGTACTAACTGAGCTGTCATTTGCAGAGCAGGCCTGCTGTCTTAAATGTTTTGTCCATTGGCCTTAGCCTTCTCAGAAGACACTTCTGCCGTTAGCACTGCCACTGACTGCCCCCCCCCTCCCCCGTGTAATAATAGCTGATCGGATTCAGGTTTAATGCACCTTTCTGCATGAATTTGCATTTTAACTGTCCAAAATGCCAACACACTCGGGGCCGCAATAACTCAAGCACAACACATGACAGAAGCGTCATACAGAGTAGATGATCTCATTACCTTCTGGATAAGCTGGTGCATACATTTGCATGTTGGTGAAGACAAATGGCAGCAGGTGAGGTTATTTAACTGCCTTTTGTTCAGTTTAATAATTTGAAAATGCCAAAAGGCCGGTTTCTGTCTGATCTAATGTGAAATTGATCAGCCAATGAAGCGCTCAGTCCTGTCTTAAAGATCAATATATCCCTCTGTGCAAGCAGCAGGCACCTATAGATAGTAAAAAAAAAAACATCAGTAAACAGGTAGATGTACCATAGAATATTAACGTGTAGTAGAGAAATGATGGAAATCATTGTGTGGTCTGTCACCTGTTGTGTGTGTCTTGGTGGAGACATCCGCTGAGTCAATGCTACATAATAGATGAGCCCAACATTAGAAGGTTTGACATTTGCATAATAAAACAGACAATGATGAGGTTGTGTCAAAACTGTGGGGTTACACCACAGATCTACAGCTCCTGTGCGCTGACTAAAACTTTATGGGTCTCCCACATAAAAGTGAGTCTGCGTGTCTCTCTCTGTGTCTCTCTCTTCATCAGAAACTGGCTCAGCCATCACCTCCTCGTGTATTGGTCTGGGGAACTCACTCACGCCACCTGCAGGTCAGGCTGGCAAACCCGTTCCAGGTTACAATGGTAAGAGTCGGAACTGTCGATCCACATCCCAGCTACAGTACACATGTAGTTATATTTTAATCTCACAATTGCTGCCCCTTAATTACAGATACTCAGAACTCAAATGGATAAAACTCAGCAGCTGCTTTTCATTCCCTGCAGAGCATCGCGTGCTTCTGCTCTTCCACTTCGCCAGTGGGCGATGCACCATCTCTGAATATGAATTGCTTGCTCTCTCCTCTCCTCTAGTCACAGTGATCGATGATGACATGCAGGAGGTGAAGGCAAAAACCCTGGGAAATATTGTGGTGAGGTAAGCTGAGTGACTGTGTGAGCAGCTCGGTCATTGCTTGACCTTTCTTCTGTCACCCTCACATGCAGTCGAAATGTGACAGAAAACTGTAATTCAATTTCAACTCCAATCTTTCACTCATTTATCTTAGTAATCTATACCATTGGGCAGTGTTTCTGTGAGCTGCCTGTGCATAGTGGACTTCATCAAAAGCTCCAGCGGCCAACCCGTAGCCCTTTGTGCTGCCTTATCTTGCGTTTTGCTACCTATCAGTTATCGCTCTCCAACTCCATTTCCCTGTTCCTCTGTAACTGCTCGTGTTGACTCGTGGGCGACACGGGGGGATTTCCAAGGAATTCACATGTACTGTGACTACAGGGACAACCACAGGTGGAGCTGTAAACAGACGGGAACAGCTGTGTTACTGTGTTTTCCTTCTAGTAGCCAGCAAGTCTGTAACCACAGCTTCATAAAATCATAAACAAGAGAGTGAGCTCATTGTAATGTGTTATGACTTCGAAGCACTGTGTGTTCAAGTAAAAGAAACAATACATTATATAATATTAAAGAATATTTGCAGATTGTGCTGCAGTCATGAACAGCTGGAATCACGCTTTTTTTTTTGTAACATCCACTGTCAGCATCAGAAATACGTCTCCTCATTCTCCTTTCAGAGAAATGAATCCATGCAGAGGCATGTTTAGGGTTCAAACTTGGGAAATGTGATGATCTTGGTCAAGAAGGAGGATTACTGGAAGTCTGTGGATAAATAAAGGCTGAGTAACTGAGCTCTCCTATCCACCGGGTGTGAGAGCGTCAGTCTAGACAGTTATCCATTACTTCATTGGGTAAAATCTGATTGACTGCTCTTAATTTAACATGACATTTAACATGAAAAGTGTTATTTAATGTCATGCTTGAAGTATTTTTTAAAGTCATGCAGACTCACCTTTTGTTATTTTGTGTCGGTTTATGGTTAAAGAGAAATATTGGAATTGAACTAAACTTCAATTTTCAACACAATCTTTTCCTTCAGACTACCTTTACCACCTGGTACAGCATTGTCGCTGTGGCAGAACCACGCTCTGTTTAAGGAGCTCTACTTCACTAAGTTCCCGGTAAGACGCGTCATCATTTCCACACATTCCGGTGTTTAACGGACATGCAATCATTTGACCAGCTGTCTGATTTGATAAAGAACGATTGTTTTTAATTGAAGCTCTGTTTCTGTCATTTGGATTCATGTTGTAGTAGAGTGAGTAGTGATTTAGTATGTGTGGTAAAAGGGCGCCCTCTAGTGTTGAAATCTTTCATCACAGAGTCACTTGTTTTTTGCGGCCAAAGAGAGACCTCATGAATTCAAATGTGCTCAGATTGTAACCGTTCCTTTCTATTCCACCACCAGGGTTATTATGACACCATGGACGCAGGTTTTATGGATGAGGAGGGTTTCCTTTACATCATGTCCCGGTCTGATGATGTCATCAACGTGGCAGGTCACAGGCTGTCAGCCGGAGCATTGGAAGAGGTAGGGGAATGATTACAGAGCAGGTGACACACAGGTTTTCCCAACTCTTCGATGCATGTGTGTGTGTGTGTGTGTGTGTGTGTGTGTGTGTGTGTTGCAGTCAGTGCTGCTGCACCCTGCAGTTGGAGACTGTGCTGTGGTGGCTCTGGAGGACGCGCTGAAGGGTGTTGTTCCCTTGGCCCTGTGTGTACTCAAGAATGGTGAGACACGGCAGATGCATAGTGTAGCATTAACTAAAGTAATATAGGATATTAACTCAAGTCACGATGAGCAGATATTTATGAATAAAGCTCATAACCCACACTGAATTCCAGCTGGTATTAAAACTACGTGTGCTTGTTCAGAACATTGCGCTTTGTTTTCTCAGGTGTGCAGAAAAACGAAGAGGAGCTCATAGATGAGATGGTGAAGCTTGTGAGAGACACCATCGGACCAGTGGCTGCCTTTAGGAAAGTGCTTTTTGTCCAAGGATTGCCGAAAACGCGCTCTGGCAAGATCCCTCGCTCCGCTTTAGCTAACCTTGTCAACGGCAAGCCTTACAAGGTATGATACAATCTGAGAAGTAGAATGCGAGTAGAACGGACATTGAACTTGCGTTGGTCATTTGACTAGTTTAAAATAACATGACTCTCAGCACTGTGCTTATGAATAGAATAACCATAGAAATAGAATTAGTAAGCCCACTACTACGGTTAATCTTCTTTAAGATGTGAGCGATACAAGATGTGAACGGGAATGTCAGTTCTACGCTCGTTCTATTTCTCTGGAAAACATATGACTTTTCTATTACTTTCCTCATGACATACTATACTATGATTTTTGAACATGCTACACTATGACTTTTTTTTTTTTGACTTTTTTTGACATGATATACTATAATTTTTCTTCCGACATGCTATACTATGACTTTTTATGACTTATTTCGACATGCTATACTGACTTTTTTTCGACATGCTATACTATGACTTAAAAAGAAAAATGTTGACCTGCTATATATATTTTTCCTAATTGAATAATTGTTTCATTAGCTTTTTGTTAGTTCCTTTCTAATTATAAAAAAAGTATTTTTTTCTTGCAGATCACTCCAACCATCGAGGACCCAGAAGTGTTCAAAGACATTGAGAGGCAGGTAGAAAAAGCCCTGAGACCTCGTGGGGCCTGAACTTGCCTGTCGGATGATAAAGAAAGCTGAAGTTGGATAGATTTTGGCAAGACGTGTTGCATGCATGTTCATGCAGTGTACTAGGTGTTGCAAATGGGAACTCAAACTAGAGATAAAATGTGATTTTTATTCTTTCAAGCCAAGTTGAAGGTAGATTGATGTCAGTAAGTTTTACAATCTTTGCCAAATGAAATTATAAATCTATTTGCATTTAATCTGAATAATGTGAGACTCTACTGGACTTCAGGCTTTTATTATTAATGAGCCATGCCCATTCCAGATTACGAATGAAGAATAATGAAGACAATTTATTAACCGACAGTATTTTTTTTTATTGACAATGAAAATTTGCTTGCTCACCACTTACTTTTGACCAAAGTACAAGTAATAAATAAAAAAATGGGCACAAAATAAAACAATTCATTATTCGTGCAAATTGAAGATGTAAAAACAAATTAAAAGCGTAAGACTTGTATGAGTCGTCAATCAGAAATAACTAAAAGACAGAAAACAGGGCTGTACAGTAGGTTACCCTGGAAACTCTGACAGAAACAAAGAGTCAACAGTTACACCAATGTAAGTCACAGCAAGCAACAGGTTTGTCATTAAATGTCACCTCACTTCAACATGGTCATATACACTCTACGCACACGATGAGCTAAAGCAGTCTGTCTTTCAGTTATTTCCTCTATTCTGTCTGAGGGGGAGGGGGAGAAGGCCAGCTTGGCTGAGTGTTTGTCCTTTTGTGTTGATGTATCACCTGACAAAACATACAGTACAACAATTGACAGGTTCTATGAATGTCATCCTGCTTTTTTTTGTTCTCTGAGAGTAATGTAAATCTCTTGTTTTTCGCTACTAAATAGTCCGTTGAGTTGATGCGGTTGTATCAAAGTGCTCGTCATGTTGTTCCAGTGCGTTGACATGTTCTCCTTTTAGGACAGCGAGTCCATAAGAAAGGATGATGCAGTTTGTGGGGCTCAGAGTGGTTTTTGTGCTCCACTAGAGGGTGGGTTTTCACACATCTAGTCTCTTCCTCTCTCTCCATGGTGCAGCACAGATTTATCATCATCAGCACAATGAAAAAATAAAACCATATGTACAAAATGATCTAGCGATGGTGGGGGAGTATGGAGACAGTTTAGAGCAGCATATATTAATCTATGGTCCACTAAATGAGGTGGCAGGGAAGTTTTTTTGCACAAACTCTGAATATCTTTTTATACATAGATCAGATGTATGTATATATTAAAAAATGGCATATTTATTTACAGATAACCTACACATCTCCTGTAGAAGAAATACACAGTACGTTATGCTTCGACAAGTTACTGTACATGTAAAAGGTAGAAATGGTGACAACAGGGCAGCCTGCAGGACAGTTTAGCACCGGCATCTGGTGCCCACATTATAGGGAGGAGGGAGGAGGGGGGGTCCGAGAGGAGAGCAGGGCTTCTTGGCAGTGCGTGTCATCAGAATGGTTTGTTCCTCGGCAGGTTGGCCTGTCCAGCAGCTCCACTAGTTCTTCAGAACTGTACCTGAAGGGAAGCAGAATGAGTAGTTTTCAATGAGGTACTGTGAGGTGGGTGTGGTGGGTGTATGTTACAACCGTAGGAACTGTGATCTTTAAATACATACCGTTTGAAAGTTTTATTAACCATATAGAAAAAAAGTCGAGGCAGAAATTAAGAAAGGTGCTGCAATCATTTGTGGTTGTGACATCTCGCAGCAGTGGAAGAAAAATGAAAGCGCAGAAAGCTCAATTCTGTGCAGTCATAGCATAGCATGTCGAGAAAAGGTCATAAAAGTCGTGGTATAATATTCCATTATCCAGTGTAAAACGGTCGTAATTCATACCTGTCAGTTATGGCATAACATCTCTATTTACTCCCCACTAGAGTAAACTATAACTGTTCTACAGGAAGTAGTGAAGGAGTGTCCACCTGGGTGTTACATGCTAAATACATCTGGTTCAGGGTTCTCTTCTTGCATCAGGTTGTCACTATTGTTATTACTCTGTGTGTGAGATACTGAACTTATTCAGTTGAAGCAGATTTCTAAAGCTCGGACCAAATCTGACTCATCGTTTTTGGACGGACATTAAAGAGGCGACATCAGTACGATATGGTGGCTCCCTGCCGTCTCCTACCATCTTAGTCACAGCTTCCTGGCAAAAACACTGCACGGACTCGCCAAGCCAAAAAAAAAAAAAAAAAAGCATCTGCTTTAAGCACTTCTGAAGAAAGCTGTGTATTGAACGATGTGTTGCGTTACATACAGCGTACAGTTTAAGGTTCCCCTCTTCCTCCAATCAGCAGGAGTAGGTTCTCACCGTGGAGCTGTCCAGCCGCTGCACTGCAGAGGGTCCGACTGTACGTGGAGACAGCGAAAGAGACAGACCGTTAAGTCGAAATACTAAAAGCTCCTCATCAAGACTGAGGATGAAACATTCCTCCACACCCTAAACATGTGCCACAAGATCAGACGTCCTCAACGGATCACAAGCAAAACACTTCTCTCTCACAACAGAGGTTACTTGTAGTGTCACCCTCGGAAGAGGACAGCCATGTATCACGCACACTCAAAGGAAGTCTGGGTTTGAGTGTATCGAGGACGTCACAGACCAGGGAGACAGAGGAACACAGGAGGACTGTTTCAGTGTCACTGGGAACACCTCGTTAGAGGAGAACACGGGCCACAATCGGAGCAGCGGGATGATTTACATTCATGTATCGCAATGTGTGAAGACACAGTTGCTGATACTCTCTGCAACCCTTCAAACAATCATGTCCAGTTCATTACAACTTGGATCTTTGAGCTTCACTCTCGACTTTCATTGAGACTGTTGTTTCCAAAGGACCAGCTCAGTTCAACCTTCTCGTGATTCCGATCCCGACATTCACAGTGTTCGTAATCATGAGAGTTTAAACGTGTTCAGCTCCAAGACAACTGAGCAAACTAAATATACTAACGCGGTCCAAAGCTCCACAACTAATGAGCAAGTAGACCTTGAGTTGATGTAGTTTTGTCATATTCTTAAAGTTTTGGCAATCGTTCCAATCTTACTCATAACTTTGAACTATGTCAAGTTAATTGCGGACACCTGGGAAATCTAATAAGTATGAAGGGACTAAATGCATACAGCAACATTTTTGTCCAATATTTTGGATACATTTTACCTCCAAATTAAATAGTTTACAAACTGATTGTGTTCCCAGACCTGGACGATTACTTTGAGCACATTATCATCAGAACAAATTGAAACGATGGCCAAAACTACAAAAGCAAGAACCAAGTAGTAATAACCTGGAATGATCCTTTAATGAAAAGCCCATTCCAGCCTGTGTTCTCGTTTAACAGCAGAGGGATGACACAAACTGTCAGTTTGAGTTATTGAGACATCGAGGACATACTGTTCCCTATGTAAACCTCCTGATTCAGGCCAACTTACATAGCGCCGCTCGCTCCAGACACCTTTTTGTTTTGCCGCTTAATTACTGTAACTTCAAGGCTTACACCAGCAAGCATGGGTCTTAAACCCATAACTTGACGCCCTAGCTTTTACAACCAGGGGGACTAAACAAGGCTATTATGCAGCTTTACAAAACAACACCCTTGGAGTTGGATATCAGAGATTCAAGAGTAAAAGAGAGAGAGAGGCGAGGGTGAGAGACCACAAAGAAAAGGAGAGGTGCAGCCGGACAGTGGTGAAGAGGAGGGAGTGTGTGGAGAATAATAAGACACGCAGGGCCAACAAGCCCAGAACCCTCAGGTGGGACATAGCTGACCTTGAAACCAATCCAAATACATGTCGTCAGGACTGTCGTCCAGCGCCTCATAGAGGACTGCAGAGCAGCCGTCACAGAGTCGGAGAGAACAAGAGACATGGTCACAACACAGCAGGGAGCAGCAACTCCTGCGCTCAGGTGTGCTGCTTTCATCTACCAGTGCAACCTTTGCTCTGCAGCTGCCTTTGAAAAAATATCCGCCTTAAACACATTTCATGCACTAAACAAAGTAACACCAAGACCAACAAGTATTACTGAACAAACAATCTACCGGTGATGATGATTGACGGTGCAGAGACGGGGACTTACCTTCAGGTGGCAATCTTCTGGAGTGACCAGACGTGGTGGTGAGACGGAATCCAGCAGGGAGCGTCTCCGCCGATCCGGGCATCATACTTATACCGTGAACGTCTCGAGGCGGGAACTGCCTCCTCCACGACGGGCCCCGGAAGTCTTTGTCGTCACACTGATGGAAAGACAAACATCATTCATGCGTTTTAGGCTCAAACTTGAATATACATTCAGTACTAAAAGCTAATTGTCTAAAAAAATACAAAATAATCACATATCTGGCTTTGATTGTGCCGACTTGTTGACGATTGCGTCTATTTTCTAATCATGAAGAGATGCATCGTAAATCACATAATCTCTCAGTCTGGGACAGTTAAATACATAATGTATGCTTTGGCAGCGTCATTTAACTGTCTGATTTACAGACAAATAGAAACCATAATTAAAGATCTTTGAAAATTATCTACCACTAGACAATGCGAGCTAATTAATTATATTGAACAATCTTGAATATGAATAGGGTTGGTAAGAGTGTAATATTGTTGCTTGGGGTCTGAAATGACCGATAAGCTTTGTTTGTGGTGACATTAATATGGTGACATTCATGGATAATAGCTGAGCTCACCTCATCCAGTCTCCTGTCGGTGCCCAGCGCCAGCATGTTATTGTACTCTCGCTCCAGAATCTGACGTGCCTGAAGGACAGAAAAACAAAACATCATGATTTCCACAAAGCCGGCTATTTTTAGCAGAATGGCAGCTGACGCGTTACGTCATTTGCGCTGCATATCCATTTTTACCTTTATAGATGAGATAAGCAGTGAACATTCACAGGGCAGCCTGCCAGAGTGACAGTTGGCAAATCTGCATGTTCTGATTTAGGTTGGACCAGCTCTCTGAAGGCTGACACCAACATGCCTCTACGTTTGGACCGACGCTGGTAACGGATGAGATTTATTTCCATATTCAGCTCCTTTAAATTTGGCTCAACTCTGCCATATAAAAATATGAATGTCTGATGAATGCAAGTGCCGGTGGAGCTGGAGCACCTGAGTGTTTTGGTGGAGCTAGAGTACCTGAATGTTTTGGCGGAGCTGGAGTACCTGAGTGTTTTGGTGGAGCTGGAGCACCTGAGTGTTTTGGTGGAACTGGAGCACCTGAGTGTTTTGGCGGAGCTGGAGCACCTGAGTGTTTTGGCGGAGCTAGAGTACCTGAGTGTTTTAGCGGAGCTAGAGTACCTGAGTGTTTTGGTGGAACTGGAGCACCTGAGTGTTTTGGTGGAGCT